CTTACAATATATATATATATATATATATATATATGACATTTTGTGACATTTTGAAAAAAAAAACTGCAATTTAAATATAAACAAATAACCTGTACATACTTACTAAATTTTTCATTAAAGAGGTTTTGAACCTGAGTTCTTAAATCCTTTTTCAAGGCCAAGTCTGAATCACTGCTGATGTCACCTTACAAAAAAAATACAAAACAGTACATTATAGTTGTTAATAAATAATATCAGAGTTAATTTTCCCATCCACATGGCATGTGATACATTATAATAAAACAGATCCTTACCTCTTCTTGTAGTGTAATACCTGCTTTTTACTGTATGTTTAATGGTTACTAAAATAATATTAATAATTATATTTTATGAGGCTTGATAGGCCTCTCGTGTGTTAGTAAGCAAACAAACAAATATATATTAGTAAATGCTACTTACTGCCGTACACAAATGTCGTAAAATGTTGCTCTAATTGCTTAGAACCTATGAATGTTTCTCCTTTGCTTGTACCGAATTTGAAAGTGGCACGCGTTGATGGCATTACACACATTCCAAAGGATTCCAGGCCAAGTTTCTCAAGTGCTTCAAACTGTAGTAAAACATTTTGGTGTTACCAACTATATAATTTTTATATTAATATATGAGTAAGCCTTAATAATTAAATTCTCGGTTCTCTTCAGCACAATAACACAAATATAAAGAGGAAAAAATAAATTTCTTTTGGTGCATAAAGGTTTGTTATTGCATTTAAACAAAATAAAATATTTTATATGGTAGTGTTTACCTTAGCTTCAATTTCCTTGACCAATCTAGAAGCTGTGATTCTTTTCTGTGCTGCACTCATATCCTCCACAGCTGTCGGTGTCCTTGCCTTTGCCTTCATTACATATTCTAGATCTTCACCAGTTGCTTTCTTGTCTTTCCATAATTTTGAGGCATTGCTGAATGCAACCTTCCTGGATGTCCCTTTAGCAAGTTCTATGGTCAACAAAAACATCTCTACAATACAACACTGAGGATAAGAATGTCATACTACCTGTTCTACCATATATAAAAACATAATATTGTAGTACACTTCTAGGATGGGAGGCAAAACAATGGCAGTACCTTTGGTGATGTACTCGGAAATGAACAAATTGTAACCGGTTGGCAATTTCTTCTTTAAAACAGCAGTTCTCGGATATTTGATTCCAGATTGTTTTTTTCGGTAGTTCCCAATCCAGTCCTTTGCGCAATAAACAAAGTATTTTGTGTTAAGTAGTTATATTTCTATTGATTTGTACATATAGTTAGTGTGGACCAGTAAAATTTAAATTATTCTTACTAATTACTTACTAGTACAAATGAAAGATCTACTAATGCAAAGGGAAATGCTTCTTAAATTTTGTGACATTTTTTTAAAGTACAAAATTTTTTTTTCTGTATAAAATAGAGAAATTCTTAATAAAATAATGATCAATTAATTGGATAATTAAATTATTGGAAATGAAAAATCATGCACATAATAAGATAGCAGCCATCGATCATTTCTGTTGTAAAATAAGGTTATTTTTATGCATGCAAGGTTTAGGAGATGTAAACTACTTCCAATTAAATAAAACTTTTCAAGCAGGTAGATAAAACATTACTTAATGCATGAAATATATCTAACTTTCCCATTCTGTAAAACAGACGAGCATAATTGAAAAAAAATATATATAACTTCTGAACTGGACATCCAATTGAAAAATAAAATATATCTGAAGAAAGCTATTGATAAACAACATCTTTGTGTGAAATATCAAGTGAAAGAATACCAGATAATAGACCCTAAGGGACCATCAAAGAAGCACTGTCCAGGTTTTGTGATGTTTGTAACCATGAAGACTATTTGAGAGGAAAGTAAGTGGCTGTCCCCTTAGTATTTAGATTCCTCTGTATGAAAACTGCAAGGTTATTTGTGGAAAAAAACAGATGTGTTTTTGTTCTTAATAAGATTAGCAAGAATTAAATACACAATGAGGAAAGAGCAAAAAAGCAAATTTAAAACACCACTTTACACAGTGTGCAACTAAATGCTGCCTGTGTGTATAGGCTCGCACTATTCCATTTTGGGCTTCGTTGGTCCATCCTAATACAATGTTTTAATCATACAATATGGCACAATAAATAAAACTTCAACAAGATCTTAACCCTGATGAATTATTGGTTCCATCCGGAATGCCCTTTCTATGAAGTAGTTGCATGTGCTTTATTTTATATGTTTTTCTTTTCAATGTATTTATGTAAAGGCCTATATATGTATAGTTTAAGCGGATAGTAGCCCTCGATGGCTTATGAAGCAATAAAGTGAATCGAAATTGAAATTGAAGATTTTCGCCTTATGAAATCCTTATAAATTCATTAAAAAAAAAAATGTTTTTGTATATTTTTTAAATAACAGTGACCACACTTAACAACTACATTTACATTAATAAAATCATAATTTCTTCCATCGAATTTGTAGGACACATGTAGAAATTTAAAGTTTAGAAATTCAGATATCATTTACAGTATGTGAATTACTGACCTTAATCTGAGTTTCTGTTAGTCCAGTTTCAATTATGGCTTGATTCAGTAATTCTTTCTTACTCTCATCTCTGTATCCAGTCATCCCTTTGGCCCAGAATGATGTCAGAATTTCCAACTGTGTATTACTTATCACCACATTCTTCCTTTGAATAACAAATATTTGTTTGACTTTAAATTGTTGTGCAATTAACAGATCATTTATAGCAGGATTCCCATATTCTATATTATTTTCACAACACATCACAAATTTAATAACAAGTTAAGAGTATACATTGAAACTACGTACACCAGGGCAATATTTTAACAATGAAATTGAAAAGATCAAGAAGATGATGCTATGAAATGGTTTTCCTATATATGTTTTCAATCGGTTACTTAAACAGTTAAAACCTAAGCTTAATAGTAATATTGGTAATGATAGACCTGATATTAATGATAAGCCTAAAAGTTGGTTACATCTTCCCTGCATAGGTGATCGTGGTGAAACGCTATTACGTAGCTATATTAGAAAAATAAATAGGTATTTAATTATTGATGTTAAGTTTATTACTTTATGGCAAACCAAACAAGTCTTCAAAGGACCTTACTCCGAAAGAATACCGTAGCTCTTTATATCTATAAATTTGAATGCCCTGGCTGCAATGAAAGTTACATAGGAAAGACAGATAGATGCCTTAAGTCAAAACTGAATGAGCATGCTCTCAAATCAGACAGCAGTTATCATAAGTACATACAGCAGTGAAGGGTTTCTAAAGAGCATGCATTTTTTACATAATTTTGAACTTCTAATTTTAATACTGTATATCACATTTCTTATGTTGGATCTTTATCTATTAATTTTTCTACTGTTATTTGTATTTCGCTGATTGTTTATTGCATTCCATGAGAATTTTAGCATTCCTAGACCTCTTACCTATATAATTGCTGATTATTTATTGTTTAACCATAAGTGATCTACTTCATGTAAGATACCATATTTTTAAATACCTCTTTTCAATTGGCTAGTTTTAACTTGATTTTATTCTGATTTTAAGATCTATCCAGGGAGATAGAAAATGTGACAACAGTTTATGTCAAGGGACCATCCATAGATCTATTTCATCATTTTCAAAAAAGTACAAAACACTCTTTGGGTGGGAAGGGGAGAAGGCAGTGTAGATAAGTTACTCTTTTATTAAAAAGTAAAATAATGATCTCAAATTCAGAAAAATCATTTTTTTGTGTACTCATTTGAGGGGAAGAGGGGGGTCACAGCAAAGAGTATGGTTTGCTTTTGCACTCTTGTAAGAATAAAGAAAATAATGGGTGACTCTGTTAATCTAACATAAATATATTTTGTGCCAGCTGCTGTAACAATACAGCCATATTCAATTATGGCTCATACGTATAATTTAGTTTCCAAAAAAAATAATTGTTGTGTTACCTCTTGGTCGCCATCTTGCAAATACTCCTGCTCTGTGAATAAGGAACCTGTGAATAAAAGTGGTAAAAATATTATGTGGTGTTTTAAATACTGTTAGTATTGCCAAGGAACTCTTTGGTACAAAATAGGCCTAGGGCCTCTCATTTTCAACGTACAGGAAGGTGATGATTAGTACATACAGTATATGTTTGATAATTCATAGTTGTTGGTACATTATAATATTGAATAAATAGTTGTCATTTCACTTACAAAAAGAGCTGGCTTACAACATAAGTCGTGCTACAGTAGGGCCTAGGCTAGGCCTAGGCCTACGTAGTAGAAGTAGCATTAAAAATAGCGATAATATTATTATAATAACACATCAAGACACCTTTCTTCAATATAAAAGTTACTAAAACCAGGTCAGTCCTTGCCATATTTTATGGGTGATTAAGAAAAAGAAGATAAGAAATACCTCGTTAAACTCGACAAATTTTCCAAAAAAATTTTGCTACACTTGCTCCAATATGCTAGAGACGATCAAGGAGGAACAACGATTGCTTTCAAGGTCAATGATGAAGGGAATACCTGTGAATCATCTGTATCATGAATCTTCGACTCGAGAGGACACTTTTTAAACTTTCCGCTCAACAATAAACTTTCTGAAGACAGTACAACGAAACAGAAAGGCACGTAAAACAGAAAATAAACCAAGCTAGCCCTAGATTATTTTATATACTTATGCGTAATCTAACAAATAAGAAAGCTTATCACACAGGATTACCATCATCAAGATAACTTCGTTATGTTATAGAGGGCAGTACATAACAAGAATGACGCGTCCATTATTTTCCCATGTATACATATTTTATTATAAACAGGTGTAATACTACAATATACCACTACTAATGACAATAAGTATAGAAATTAAATGTACTGTCTTTGTTATTTTACGTGCAAAGTAATACTATACGTATTAAAATATTGTATACATTTTCTCTGTCTCATTTTAATTACTAACTTCCCCATACTATAATGCAGAGACTCCATTTTCTAACCCTAACCCTAACCCTAACTCTAACCCTAACCCTAACCTAAGAAAGTACCTTGACTTAATATTTCTTTTCAAATGTTTAAATGACTATATTACTTGTAACTTAATTTCTTTATTAGTTTTAAGTTATTTAAAACTAATGAAATTAGATTACTAATAAAATTAGATTTTCGATCTTTCCTTTTCTAAAGTTAATTTGCAAAAATGAATTTGTTAATCGTATTTCATCACTTTATTATGATTTTGTTAATGCTCGAGCAAAAGTGAGGTAATTCATTTACAGTTCTTAAGTGGCTTGCCATCGGTTACATTTCAGAGTAATTTATTCCATTTTTATTTCAAAATTTATATGCCATCATTTTAATTATCCCGTTTTTGTATTCTCTTTTGGAATAGTTAGTGTGCTGCGAAAATTTATTTTCCATGTTTTCGGTTCTGTAGGCCTATGTTTATTTTTTTGCAATCCTGTAAGTGGTTATTCTTACTTTCGCTGTTGGTATATATTTTATAAATAATTAAATACTCACATATTTTACTTGTAAATTTAATAAAGGGAACACTGGATAGTGATTTTGCAATCAAAATATTTCTTGAAGGCATGGCGAGTATCAATAACAAATTTATGAAGCTTGCGATACACCATAAATTTGATTTTGCAATTATTTGGAATTTTTTGTACATATTGATTCCTTTCGCGGTTTAATGTTAGGCCTGCCTACTCAATAGTATTGTATTACCGCTCAGATTTTAATGTTTGTTTACAAAAAGTAAATCAATTTTATAAGTTCTTCTCACTTTTGATAGTTTCTCGTTAAACAGTCATTGTATGACAATTAGTATGACATGCAGTTTAATTTGGACGATTTCTTATTACACACAACCATGCAAAATAGTAACTTACTCAGGTGCTGAGTGTACTTGAGATTATATGCTGTTTTCTGTACTTTATCTTGTGCTCTTGTTAAATTAAAGACCAAATTTCCATGTTTTCAAAATAAAATCTTGGAAAAAAATTGAATTCTATTCTGTTTCTTTTACTCCATAGTATTTATATAAAATTACTGCAATAAAAGGTTTTCATATTACTGTCAATATTTCAATCGTAGGTTGACGTTATTTTGTAATTTAGTTCAACATGGATATGTGCGTGTAAGATGACATGACGACATTATCAACTGTTAATACTTTCATCATGGGCATCACATGCAAAATACAATGTAATTATTTTTCCAATTTGATTTTACATACTTTATTTTGTCTGACAGTATTTTTGTACATTATTTCATTCGGCATTTCAACACATAGTCCACAATTTAAAATACATTAATTAATCAACTTAAATGCATTAACATGCAAGACAGATCAAATCCCATGCAAGCACCGTGTTAGGATCCAATATTTTGACGTGTCATGATGGCGTGCATTTCATTGCTTGGTAGTGTGTATTATACTATCTTACTAGCTTGAAGTTGATTAGTGGAGCTTTCGGCATTAATGAAGAAAGAACTAATAAAAAATCAATATTTTTTTTGTACCCAACTTACGTACTTTTATTAAATTACATAAAAGAATAATTATACCATTGTCACCATTATCATTACTACTATTATTGTTATTATTGTTGTTGTGTTGATGTCGTCTTTATATATTGTCTTGATTAAATTCTTATATAATTTATATTCGTTTCATACTGTGTATTTAAGAATTGTAGCTATGCGGTGACAATCTTGATTAGCCTCGGCTATTTCTTTCTGACCAGTTGTACATTCTTTGAGGATACCATAAACGGAGAACAGATAATACATTAGTTTAAGGTAAATAGGACCATATTATGTTACTTGCTTGTAATGTATACCAGAAAAAATAGAAAATAAAAACAGGGTATAATCTTAATTCTTCAATAAATATTTAATCATTTTGACTTCTTCACAACTTTGTAATGTATACTTTTTTTGCCCATGATATCAAAAGAATTTTGATGCTACAGTACAAGTATAAAAGGTATATTTACGGTACATGTATATACATATTCATATATAAATATACATACACATGCATTTATTTGTGTATGTCTGTGCATTTAGTTATGTATACGTAGGCATGTATACACACACAAACACACACATTATATATA